TGCCTAATTTAAAGCCACTTTTTATTGGAAGTGAAAAGCTTTTCATTAAGGAGCTTGAACCAAGCACTGATAATGCTTTACCTGCCTATAAAATGGAACGATCATCTCCCACATTCTTTCAGAAAAAACCGGCTTTCATTAAAGCTATCAAGCCTCAACCAATAGAGCTTGAACCAAGCACTGACAACGTTTTACTTGTATATAAAATGGAATGATCATCTCCCACCTTCTTTTAAAGTGGAAGGCGAAAATGGAGATCGGGTCCAAGCTCTGGCCATTTGCCGTATGGATACATTGGAATGGAACCCAAAACATCCCTCGTTTAAACTGCTCAATACCATACCAGGAACCTTTCCTCATCTGCCATATTATGCCGCTCACTGATTTTATATGGTTTCCCATCTTACTTCAACTTGAACTTTCGATTCCTCCAATAATAAAAGCGCTACCTCAAGCTCTAGCTCATGTATCGTTACTCTTAGTTTTAGTTATGTAATGTATTGAAATTAATGTATGTTTGAATCTGTAATGTTACACTATATGTACTATGTCGTATGAATTTTGAGTTTCTTTTATAATTTTATGGTAAGTTGTCGGGTTAAGATAAATTTAATCATATATGTTTATCTAACACTCCCATCACTTTTGGGATTGGAAAATTGCACAAGACCCAGTAAGTGGAAAGAAATAATAAATAGGAAACACAACACCACCGACTCTGATAGGATGTTAATTTATATGATTTAATGATCAATCAACTCAAAAACTTAAGCGGATATGTTAAAGTAAATTTAATGATATATTGATATGTAATAATATAGAAAACTAGTTTAAAATTTTGAAATAATAGTGTTGATTATGGTGTGATGTCCATTTCACTCCCATAAAAAGGAAACTTGGACTCGTTTCGTAACATTCTTGTTTACTGTTTTCGATTCCGATCTCATTTACTGTTTCTTTTTTCTATATATTTTTTTAAAATCTAGAAACAGGAATAGGTTTGATAACCATTTCTATTGAAAAAAATAGACAAAAAAAATAATGTTTGATAACTATTTTTTTAAAATATAACAGTATGTGAGGGTGTGGATTCGAATCCACCACCTCTTGAACGGCTACATATATTTTTAACTCAAGTTGGTTTATTTTTATTTTTAGTTAAAATAAAAAGGTATAGCATATACTCGAATAATATAATACATTAAGAAAAAGATAATTTACAATATAAATTTTTTTAATAAATTATTAGCTTTAAATAAAGACTAAAATTTTAAAATATTTTTCATTTAAAAATAGATATTTTTTTTAGTTCAAAATATAATAACCTTAAATAAAGAAAAAAATTTCAAAAAATTTTAAATTTTAAAAATAAAAAATATATTTCTGTTTACGAAAATATAAAAAGGAAAAATAAACAACGATTTGCTGAGAATCTAACTTCGTAGTAGTGGAGGTTGAGAAATTTGGGCATATACTTGCACCAGTAAGCTGAAGCTCAATTTTAAACAACAGGGTACAAGATATAATATTTAAGCTAAAGCCGCTGCTTGATAGGAAAAACAAACGAAAATTGGAAGAATGAAACTACTTTTTGTCGTTTCCAAAATTTTACCATTTTCTGGAAATGTTTCTTAAATTTTAGATATAAAAAACAGGATCGGTTACCAAACGTGTATGTTTCTCAAAAACAAGAAATGGGACTACTAGAAATTGAATATTACCAAGTTACTCCTATTTATATATTTTTTATAAATATATAAAACCCTGAACTCTAAATCCTAAGTCGTAGACCCTAAACCCTAAAAAAATAATATACGTCGAAAAATTGGAAGAAGAACCATGAAAATTAAGCAAGAATAAGTGCATTGATTAGTTACTATATTTATTTAATTATTTATTAAAACATTACCTATAAAATGGTCATCAATTCCCACTAGGAAAGAATACATTCAAAAATATCGGGCAAATTGCAAAAATAGTATGATGATTGTTGCATTTTCACCCTTAAAACTTTTATGGCTTACTGATTTTGAATTTCAACTTCCAGCACCACTACTTCTTCGTTGTGGTTTTTAACATATTCACTTTCTTCAGTGGCACACCCACACCCTTTGTCTTGGTGCAGCCATTTTCGGCTCCATAGGTTTCGAATTTCTACGATAATCAAGCCTAGCCAGCTCTTTGGATGCTGATAAAATTGAGAAGAAAAATTTAAGATTAAACACAACTTTTTGGGATCAAATTAATTGAGTTTCTCAGGAATTTATAGAACGAGAAATAAAGAGTACACGATTATTGGTGCTTTAATTATATACAACTTTGGAACAACCGTGAAAACGTGAAAAATTGAAATGAAAGGAATTGCTTTGAAAACTTTTTCGCCCGTGTACAAACGGAGAATCAGAGAGAGAAAGTGAGACCATGAGGGGAGGAAAAAGGGAGAGATGGTTAAAATAGATTTTATTTTTAGGATTTCATTTTTTAAATGGAAAGTTTAGGTGTGAATTTTTTTCTATTACGAAAGTTTATGGGTTAAATTTTTATAATTACAAGTTTACGAGTACAAATTTTTCCACCTATAAAAGGTTGATGGTTTAATTTTTATACTTATACAAGTTTAAGGGAGAAATTGCTACAATTAAAAGTTTAAGGGTGAAATTGTAAGAACCATCATACTTTAGGGGTGGTTTGTATAATTTACCCAAAAATATAATAATAAATGTAATTGAATACTACAATAGATTTGGGTTTTCTTGACGCCACTCAAAAAGCGACGGTAAAAGATGCTGCCGACCAAACAAAATTTATCGACAAAAATGTCGTTGTAGGTTCGTCGCAATATGTTTTGCCGACGCTTTTGAGAAAGCGTCGGCAGACGTGGGCTATGCCAACACTTCAAAAAGCATTCGCAAAAGTAAGATATGCCCGTGCTTTAAAATACGTCGGCAAATCTCAATCTTTCCCAACTCTTTTTCCAAAGTTAAAATCGCGTCAGCATACATGACATTTTTTTATATCTTTTTATTTTTGTAGTACCATATATAGTTCAATGATATTGGAACCTAATATTATTAATAGTATCATTTAACACATACACAATACTATACAAGTCAATTCATTACACTGCAGATATCTTTACACATGAAAAAAAAATTATATGTTATTCGTTACGATCTACATAGTTTCAAAATACATGGAAAATGAAATAAGTAATCCTGGAAGCCTTCCGATCTTCTTCTACGTCTACATTTTTTCAAAATGAGGATTCAAGATTACACAACTACAAACCTGAAATAATGAAACGAATAATATAAAAGTTTCTAAAACATAAACAAACAAAAAATAATTACAAAAATAGGAAAGAGATTTTCGAAAGAAAAATATTCGTGAGGTAACAAACGTCATTTAAGACTTTACCACACCTACAAAACCTGGAAAATTGCAAAAAAAAAAAAATGTTGGCTAATAGTMGCCAAGCGAGTTGTGGTGGTCAAAATTTACTTCTAAGTGCTACTAAGCAAGCTTAATGTCGTAATCGTAACACCCCACCCCCAAAGTTACCTATGCGTCTTAAAATCTCATGCGTATTTGATTGGGTCCAACAAGTAATTTTAAAGGATCCACTCTAGAAATCACAAAGCATTTAAATTAAAACTAAGAGCCTAAGGGTGTTTTTTAGGCAAAAATGAAATTCAACATACTCTAAGAGCGATCGTGGAGTACTTAACCCAACCCCTGGAGCTACATAAGCCTCTTAAAAGCTCTGAGCTATTTGGGTCCAGTAGCTTTAAATGACCCTCGACGTTCTGGCCCACCCTAGAATTATCAAAGAAGTCCAAAAAAAGACCTGYAGTTGAATCAATCTTTAAGCAAACAATCTTTTAAAATCTGATATTTTAAGCACTTAAATGAAAAGTGGAACTTGGAAATAAGACCACATTATATATATTCTTCTARCTCCCTTAAATTTCTCACTCGCAAAGATTAATAAGTCAAAAAAAGAACCATGATTAGGTTCAAAATGAGAGTTCAAATAAAATTCTATGACCCACCCAAAGAAAAAGTATCAAACTCTAAAACATTAACATAATTGTGAAAGATAGAAATAACGGGAAATTTTCTTTGCTTATTTTTTGCACAAACTTCTTCGCTTGTGGTCTAATATTCTCCCGAGCTTATTTACAAATAAAATTTAAAGCATAAGTAGTTTTTGCTTTGCTATGACGATATGCTTTTAGAGATTATTAAGGCGCTATGCACTAAACAGGTTGTTTGGGGAAGAAAATATTGTGGACACGTGGAGGACGCTCAGTGGTGTTTAGAAATAAAAGAATATTCGAGGTCCACCTCGAACCTGCCGAGGAGACCAAATTTGTCTATATACAAGGCTGTGTAAAAGGCCGGGGTTCGACCTGAACGGGTTCGATCTTCTCAAACCTGACAGGTTCGACATGACAAAAAATAGGGATAACCGATGGTTGTGAGTGCTGTCGGACCCACCACCAATAAATAGAAGGCCTCATTTCACGCTCAGGTATCGAATCTCACCTCAAACTTAATATCGAGTCCGACTTATACTGACTTGAGCGTCGGAGAGTTTGCCCTCTTGTGCAGGTTCACTCCAAAGTTCAGGTCGAGCTAGAGACCGGGTTCGAGTTAGATTCGTGAATTGTGTTATGCAACTCTTTGCATAAACACAGGTTAGTTTTGTTTCAAAATATTAYAGACTAACTCTTTTTAGCAAACTAATGAACGGACCCAATCATCGTCCATATTGATCCTCTCTTCATTATTGAACACAAATAATTTTAATAGAAAATACCAAAAATTACTATTTCAATCCAATGTTTATTGTGATTGTTTTTTCTTTTAAAGAGAGATCTTCTCAACATAGGATTCTAAAATATAAAAAAGTACACAATGACTAACACCAAAGTTGATTTCAAAATATTGAGAGTCAAAATTCTAAATTGAGCATTAATATTTATTTCCAAATTCTAAATTAAGCTTTAAGATTTTATTATTTTGATAGATAATTGATTTTTTTTTATAAATATTAAACAGAGAATAGCATTAAAAAAAAAACGGGTGCAAAATAACTATAATCGATATTTGAAACTTGCAAGTTAATCAATAATAAGTATAGATCCACTTCATTAAACAATCCCTTGAAATATGTTATGTTAAAGGTCTAACAAAAATTTACATGAAACAAGACAARTTTAAAAAACCAACATTCGAATTTGTTCTAGTCTCATAGAGTAAGGTTAACCCACCRAACATAAAATATTTTGTGAAACTAACAACTTTCCTATAATTTACATCATAAAAACATAGKATAAGCATCACTCAAGAATGCTTCAAAATCTAACATAAATAAATYGTTGTAGAAACTAGAAAGAGGGAAAATAGAAACGYATAATCTAAGCTAAAAATCAAGGCTCCTCTCCCAACGATAGAACAACAAAGGAATGCAAATTCATAACGTCTATCATCAAATTAACCCAATGGAAATATCCAAAATAAACTTTCACTAAAATTATCAATACCCACATTTCAGTTTGTTATTTAATGGATTTTTTTCTCTCCACTCATTCCTTCTCTTGTGAGTTTGTTTTGTTTTTCTTGTCTCGACGTTCTCATTCCTTACTTTGCAGCACCCCACCCACCTGTATTTTTCTTCTTCATTCTTCTTCTTGCCTCTCCATTCTTCTTCCTCATAAATATAACAATAGTTTCTTTAATTAAAAAAAACAAACTAAGCTGATTGGAACTGATAATGTTTATAAAATAAAATTTAAAACAAAAAAAGGCATGCCAAGACAAAACTTCATCCTGCATCTACATATTTATCCACCCAGTAGTTGACCGATGAACGAGGTCGAATCACAATATACATCCACCAGCCACAGCCTCAGTACCACAAATGGGGAAATATTAATTTTGTTTTATTTTCAAAAATGTAAAGTGACAAAACTCACCGGCCGACGACCAGATCGAGGTGGTAGCAGGTTGCCACATGGATACATCACAGTATACATACGCCACACCATCAATACTTGGCAGGTCGCTCGACACATGGATTCCAATGCGTGCACAAGTGTACACATYGTTTACTCTCTTCAATTTATCTGCTCTTTGTTTTAATTTAAATTTCACTTTCCAAACATAATTTGTTTCTTTGCAAACAGACCATGTTTATCTTCAACGGATTCCAATGTTTGTCTTTACAGATACCTCCATTACTCTGTTCAAGGTTATCCAATATTCATGCATGGTTTCAGCTTCACTACTAAATTACTACTATCACACTAGCTGCTTAAGCCTATATATATGTCTGGGTAAATTGGATTAAGAATATGCGCCCACCAAATTCATCCATCAAACACGAAACAAAACTCACTTTATTTTCGTTCGATATGAAGCTCCCTCTGTGCATCACTCTCATGATCTTCTTGCTTCTCTTGGTCATGGTAACCAACCTTTCCCAATTTCCTCATCTGAATTTTTTTATATATGTGAAATTATCATTTTTGTCAAGTTTAATTACGCAAATATTATGCAATTCTCTAACCCTTTTTTTTCTTTTTTGTGATTCCATATTTTAGTTTGSGAGTACCATAGAGTCCAGAAAAGAATTGAAAGATCATTGGTACAAAAATGTGATGGAAGATGAGTCATTGCCTAATTTAAAGCCACATTTTCTTGGAGGTGAAAAGTATTTCATTAAGAAGCTTGAACCAAGTACTGACAATGCTTTACTTGTCTATAAAATGAAACGATCATCTCCCACATTCTTTCAGAAAAAACTAGCTCTCATTAAAGCTATAGAACCTAACCCAATAGAGCTTGAACCAAGCACTGACAATGCTTTACTTTCCTA